ATCTATGACAAAAAAATTGTGTGAGCTTAAGTATTTTTTTTTTCAATGTTATTGTATATATCTATTTAGTTCTGTAAATTGCTATTATCTCTTATTTTAGTTATAGTTTTAATGGTTTAATTAAAATAATATATATTTAATAATACAAAACTAAAAATTTATCATGCTTTATATTCATATGTTTTATTATTAATTATGATCAAAATACAATTGTAAAAAAGATAATTACTCTCATCACTGCTGCTAAATAGGAGATTAATTGATAAAGGAATTATTTCATCGTAATTAGTAATTTCGAATCCAAATAATCAATCAATCAATAAATTAATAATATTAAAAAAATAACTATAATCACTTCACCTTCATTAGATGATATCTGTATGTAGAATAAAAATATTTATTTTACCTAGATATCCCAATTAAGTCATCTGCAAATTGATACCAAAAAAAAAAGCCATCTGCGACTTCACGTCATCTCTGGCACCGATTTTTCTGGCATACATTGCTGGTGTGGTGCAATGTATGCAGTGGCCACTATGTCACAGCGAGGAAATTTTCTTCCATGCAGGATGTATCCAGTTTTATTAAAACTGGACCGACCCGGTCGGGTTGACTTGAGAATCGGTAATTGATCATATAATTGGTTAGGTTGAAAGAACGGATCGGTTATGTATCAGAACTGGTGTGACCCGGTCCGACCCGGTCGGTTTTCATAAAAATCGGTGACCCGGTCGGTTAACCGATGACCCGGACCGGTCCCACAAAAAAAAATTTAATTATTTATTTTTTCAAAAAAAACTCATAATGAATATATTTGAATATTTTTTTGCTTACTGACTTTCATAAGTTATGTACCTACAACACTAATATTATCTCAATTATGCACAATCTAATTTTTTTTTATTTGATTTATAGTTAGAGATGTCGTTTTCTGAACTTAAAGTCTCGTATCACGATCATTATATTTTTATTTGATCTTTTATTGGATAATAATATGGGATTTCTTATTTTTTATATTAAAATATTTGAAATATTTGTCATTTTTTTTAGATATTTGAATATGTTTATAATTTTTTAATATAAATTATAAAATTGCATATAATTACCGGGTCATGCGGTTGAACCAGTGACCCACTAGTTAAACCGGTGACCAAATAATCCAGTACCTCGACCGGGTCAATGATCGGGCCGATTTTAATAACATTTGATGTATCTATTTGGATAAAAAAAAATTCGAAAGGAGAAACTTTTATTGCTTTCGAATCCAAATATTTTTCTCAATTTTCATTTGAATCCTTATTTTTTTTTTTTTTTTTTTTTTTTATCCTTTTTATCCATAGCGAGAGTGGGCACATGTTCAAAAGTCATGATTTATGTTTTCTATGAGATATAGAGCCATGTCTTATATATGGGAAAAATATTTCTTAGTACGAGAAGTTTTCTCTTCTATCACTCTCATTTCGATGTTCGTGTCAATTACTTTTTTATTTTTTTTCTTTAAAGTGGATCCCTCTTCTTTCTTTCTATGTAGAAAAACTTAAATTTCTTATACAACATGAGAAATTGCAAGCTATTATATATACATACTATTATTTTGAGCTTGATACAACTCGGATTACCCAACTTTATTGAAGTTGTTTTAATCGAGAAAAATAAATTTAAAAAATGTAATACAAAAAGAAAGAAAGAGTTAAAAAGAATGTATAAATCGATTATCAAGCTTTTTTTTTTTTTTGGTAAGCTGATTATCAAGCTTTTAAATCGCACATAATTTATTTTTTCTTTTTAAGGAGTTTATACTCATGCGTTTAAGAAAAAAATACGAGACACTGGGCTTATTACTGAATTTAAAAAATTTATTCTCATGATCGAAAGCTTTCCGTGACTGGGCTTACAAATATTAATTTTATGGGATAGGTTATTATATTTTTTTTCATACTTATTTTGTCTATCCTCTCCAACATTAGATCAAAATTTCAAGAGAAGAGAAAAATGATAAATATTAATTGAGATTCTGATTAATAATATTGAAAAGTTATAAATAAAATAAACATAAAAAAAATTGGTAAAATAACTTATACATAATTTTATATATGGTGGCCTCTTCGCGACTTGGCTTTAACTATCTCTAAGTTGACTTGGCTTAATTTTTTTGTCTTGATTTCTTGTTTTTTAAATATAAATAATATATTATATAACCTTTATAAAAATGAATAATGGGTTATACAACTGTGTTAAAAAAAAGTGGTGTAAAATCCGAATCGTTAATGAAAAAAAAATATGAACTAATAACTCGTAAAGAAAGTTACAAGGAATGTCTAGGGAAGTTGTTTAATTTCTGCATATATTTTAAGAAATTAGTGTTGGGTTAGTGTTTCTCATGTTGTAGGAGATAATTTTATCTCTTAAATACACATAAAAGTGTATGGAGTCCCACGTTTTCTTTTTCTCTCTTTTCTCTTCACATAGATCTTACACTTTTATGTGTATATAAAAAGATGAGAAAAATATTTATCAAGCTGCTTGAGATATATTTATCTTCGGTAGCCCCAAAACTATATGTTATTTTCTTATTTAATTGATTCTTCTTTGCATGATTATGATTTTCTTTTTCTCTCTCTTCTTTTATATATTACCATCGATCTATCTTTGTACGATTATTATTTAGTAGTCAGAGATAAAGTTATCTCAAGCAGCTTAAGGAACGATAAGCTCATAAAAAATATAATTTTATCTCATATAATATGATAACATTAATTCCATATTTTAAAACACAAAATAAGGAAGTCATTATTAGTTAACAATAATAGTCTTCTACCTCCATTACCAAAAAAAGTTGTATACCTCTACCCAAAAAAAATGTCATCTACCTTTTTTAATTTTTCTTCTATATTTTGTATTGTAATGCTAAACAATAAGAAAGATGTTAACTGTATTTACCTCTATTCACTTGTTAAATAGGATAGATAATATCTACCAAAAAATAAGAAAAGATAAAAATTAAAATTATTAATCCATAAACAAATTAATTACAATGCCAACCCAATCCCACTCATATTCTATCAATTGCAACTATCGATACATATATGATATATACAATAGGAAGGACTTAACTAGCGCGGTTAGTGAGCACAGTACCCGAAAGAAATTTTTTATGTATAATATACATCATTTTAAATGAATCATTACAAAATAAACTTACAGTAAAAAGTAAGAAATCGTCTTTAATTATGAGTCATGTGCAAAAAGTTTCTCTATGTTTTGAAACTCATCAACGTAACTCATTGAATAACCATATTATGCATATTGACTCTATTTGGAGTTTTAAATATATGTACGACGAAATCAATATATACTAATATGGTTTTTTTTATTATTTTAAAAAGTTGTAGTAGTGAATTTAAAATTACGGGAAGATATTATATACATGACTTGTAGGTGAAATATATTTCTTATGTTTTGCCTTCAAATTTACCCACCTTCTAAAGTTCTTTATACTGTCACAATATAAAATCCCCAGTTGCAGTATCCATGCCATGCTAAGAAACATGTATAAAACTTTTTTTTTTTCATGAACCGATGCACTTGTTATGTAATTTTTATATTTACATCAGAAAAGTATAGAGTGAATAAGAGGTTTCCGATACTTAAATAATTGTCCATCAAACTGACATTATTTCTATAAGATTTTTATTTTTAATATGGAAAAATACTTTTGTTTTGATTTTCTACCCAAAAAAGATGTCTTTGCGTCATATAGAGACATATGACAAAAATTTAGTAAATGCATACATATCAATATAGATTTATTTATACTATATGAATACTACTAAAAAAAAGATATATTCTATGAATTGATTATCCAACAAATTTTAAATATACAAATTACATAAAAAGTAAACTACGGATATTATATTTGTTAACTTATTCATCAAAATATCACCGACAAGTTATTTCTTTTCAACATTTAGCAATATGTTTAAAAATTTAATTATAGATTATGAGGAGTGATAATTATTTTTTTACAACTCCTTAACTATAGGATAAATCAGTTACAAAAATAAATAAATAAATAAATAAATCAAAGTTTATATATACATAAAAACCAAAAAAAAAAAAAAACCACTTTTCATGCATATGTATTTGTTAAATTCTTAATTTTTTTTATATTTCATTTGACATCATCAATGGACGTCGATTAATTTGAATTTGAGCCCGGCTATATCATAATAGTAATAAAATTTTGGGTAATATTTCTCTCAAGTTATATAAGAGAGAAATATTTTTCTACACTCACATACAATTATGGAGCCCACCAAGAGAAAAAAAAAAATAGTAGCTCAATTATCAATATGACTATGTGAATGTAGAAAAATATCTCTCTTTTATGCAACTTGAGAGAAATATCATCCTAAAATTTTACCTGTCAAATTTTTAACACAATCATATACTTATTTTAATTTCATTCGAAAGTGGAGAGCGGTGAGAATCGAACGCGTGACCTTGTGATTACTGAACCTATGATACCATGTAAAGAACTACTTCAACTCAAAATTTTAAACAATTAGGTGAGGGCCTTTTTAATGATTTATATTATTTTCTATTAACATAAAACATTAATAAATTTCTGTTAGTTTTTACAAATTTAAGCATTAGACACATTAAATGTAAAATCTTTACATTAAAATTTAAGATTTTTTCTAGGTTGGGAAGTTTTAAGTTTTTGCTTTCCTCTTGGATATGATATGATCATCACAAGTGTCCTTGATGCGTGGGGCATCAAGTCACATTTGTTAAGGTTAGTGATGTATCTGATACCAACCCACTTTTTTTTCTGTTCCCTCTAGGCCTTTTAGATTTATCTGATTGATGCACAAATGATGCTGATCATCATCACCAACCATTGCAACCAACATCACACGGTGTAGATTCCCACTTGGACTCTACAACCTAGTGCCACTATTCACTGCAAAATTGTACTCTCTCTCTCTCTCTCTCTCTCTCTCTCTCTCTCTTTACACTTTCCCATATAACTGCAAGTCTTCGGGTTAGAGTATGCGTTTCTTATTTGTTCTATAACGTTGGTGTTTTTGTCTCTAACCTTGGTGTTTTCATGGATACTTTTCTGTAACCCGCATCAACAATCTCAGAACCTTGGTGTTTTTGTTCCCTTGTTTTTTTTGTTACCTGTGAGTTTTTTTTTTTTTTTTTTTTTCTCTCTGCAAATACTCACAAAGTTTGGGTCTTTTTGGTGTTCTTGACTTGATTTATGGTTTTGCAGAAATGGGTAGTGGGGAGAAGAGTCCGAGGAGCTTTTATTTGCATCGCCATCATCTCCAACATAACCATGGGAATGGGAAGAAGCAAGAGTTCAGAGATGTTCCAAAAGGGTGTTTGGCAATCAAGGTGGGTCAAGGAGAAGAACAACAGAGGTTTGTGGTGCCTGTCATATACTTCAATCACCCTCTTTTCATGCAGCTACTGAAGGAGGCTGAGGAAGAATATGGGTTTGATCAGAAAGGAACCATAACAATCCCTTGTCATGTTGAGGAATTCAGAAATGTTCGAGGCTTGATTGATAGAGACAAGTCCCTCCATCACCACCACCATGTTGGTTGTTTTGGGTTCTGAATTTGTTTTATACCCTGAAAAAGAAAATATGATCTTGACCCAGAAATCGTGGCTTCAAGTTTCGTGTAATTTGGTCATGTAAATTCTTAGCTATTAGACTCTTTTTTTTTTCCCTTCACATTACTTAGGTGATGATGAAGACAACAGAATGTTGCTTCTTCCAATAGTAGTTACTTTTCTAAAGAAAAAAAAGAGAGATGCCTTTCTTTTCTTTTCCATTCTTTTCCTTTGTTGAAGAATTTTTCACGCGTTAGAATAATTGGTACCCTACTCTCTCGAAAAGAAAAGAATTGATTGTATGTATGTAGGACCAAAATTTTGTTTCTTTTCATTTCTTTTTGAGTCACTGAATTCGCTATAATCAAATTGGTCTCTCCCAATAACAAAGTACAAGAAACCAGTAACGTATGGATTCAAATCACAGTTTCTGTTGCAATTATTGAAATTGAACAAATTTTACTGACAAATTAGACTGAAATAGCAGAAAATTATGGCCGTACAACTGTACTTGCTGTTTCAGTTTAAAACCATCAGTAACTAATCCAACAGAAGCAAATGCTTTACATTCAATGATAATAGAATCAAATTTTGAACTCTATGCTTTATGGTTCAATGATTATTATTTTTTGCAAGGTAATTGCTACTTGATTTTTTTTTCTTCCCAAAATATGCGGCTTCATGTAGAAGAACCTAAGCAGAAAGGGAAAATGAGATTTGCATGGAGAAAAATTGGAGACAAGCTAACAATAGGGTATGGACCATTTCTGAGTCTGAAACACTGAGATTTCTTAGGAATGAGTGAGAGGCAAATATTGAGTTTTTCCTTCCTTTTTATTTCTCAATAGGATTGTTGGTATTTGGAAAGCATTGAATTGGGTAGGTGATTGAGAAAGACAAGCTACCATGCTGATAGAAGGTGTCAGTGGGTGGGTGCATGACTTCCACGTTTGGTAAGGGTCTGGTGTTTGTTGATATGCATCTAAGGGTACACAATTTAATTTAATTGAAGAGTAACCTCAATTCTTTGTACCCCTTCAAGGTTGAAACTTTAAAAAAAAAAGTTCCAAACAGGGAACAGTTTTGGACACCTTTGGATTGAATTTAATTCATATGAGGTTGTGGTTTCTGGAATATCAATGTTTCTTCACTGTCATTTTTGGCTGCCACTGTGTGTGTTGGGTGTGTGTGTATAAAATAGTCATTGACTAATTGTATCATAGAAGACAAATCTCAACCCCACATAAAAGAGGTTCACTCTTCTTTCTTTCTCTGCCTTTCAATTTTTGAAATTTCAAGTTTATTAGAAAGTAATTGCTGCATGATTTCTCATTGGGTTTAATGTTTATCGTACTATATTATAAGCCATAAATTTATTTTCTACGCATTCATAAAAATATGTAACGCTCATGTGAGGAGAAAGAAAAGAAAAATAAATAAATATGAGTGTCATATACTTTTATATGTGTAGGAGATAAATATATTTCCTATAAGAAATAATAAGGGTTTAGTGTGTGTCCTTTTAAAGGATGTAAGTTGTGTCCTTTTTAGTGACTTACACAAAGTCTGATCGGTCATACTTTGTGTAAATATGAAAAATTATTTTTTTTTCTACTTTACGTATCAGCGCGATGTGACTGGGAAAAGAAAAGAAAATTAACTTTTCAGATTTACACAAAATCTGACTGGTCAGACTTTATATAAATCACCTAAAAGAACATAAACTTGTGTACTTCTAAGGCTCCGTTTGTATAAACTGAATTTTTTTAAATTTTTAATTTTCAGATATCATAAACTGAATCTAAAAATTATATTTCTGAAAATTGAGATTTTCGAATAAAAAAAAATTTCTCCTCTACCACCGAACACCCGTTTCCTAAAAGGATAGTTTTTTTCCCAACAATAAACCCTTTTTTATTTTTTATCCAGACGGTTGGAAAAAAAATCTCACAAAGCGACGGAAAACCATAAATTGGGTGCATTAATTGAATTGATTAGATTTTTTGTTTGCATGATGCAAAGAGAGAGAGAAAGAGAGAGTTGTATTTTAAAGAATAAATTAATGGTTGATGAAAAAAAAAATCGAAGTTTTTATTTTATTTTATTTTTGGTGAAGAGTTGTAAATTATATAAAAATACAAAAAAGTGTGTGATGGATCATGATTCAAGAATACGTGGATTTACGCCTTTATTTTATTTTTATTTTTTTTTATCTATGATTACTATAAAGTACTCACATTGCTGTGGATTATATAAATCCGAATAAAAAAAATATTATTATCCCGAATATGTAACCTCAGCAAATTTTGCGAGGGGAAAATGTTGACATATGCTCTCAGAATTGGCAAATTGCATAAAAAAGAACCAGATAATTGGATCATTTGGGAAAACAAGAAATAAAAAGGAAAAGAAATAAAAAAAAATATATGATCATATAAATAACATTATTGTATATAAGAATATTCTAACGAAAAGAAAACATTACTTTAATAATGATTTATTTGGAAAACAAATTAAATAAAAAGGAAAATACAATGAAAATGAAAACAAATCCTAAATTTGATTCCTATCATATATTTGCATTTTGTTTTCCAAATAAGTTTTATTTTTGCAGAATCATACAATTTTCTTTTTTTTGGAAATAAATCAGACAATTTTCTTATAAGCTGTTTAATCCTTATAATAATTATCTACTAATAATGTTCATTTCAAAAGATGTAAGAGAATTCAATTTGATTTTTTTATTGGCTTCAAATATTAACATTAAAAAAAAACTTAAATGTGATAGACAAACATTAAGTACTTGTTTGGTGTGATGTATAAGGCTTGATAGTATAAGCTTATACTATACGTTATGACATTTTCAGTTATTTGATGTGACTATTGTATAGTATAAGCTTACACAGCATGACCCCTTTATACATCAAAATGATGTATAACTTAATCCGGCCTAGGAGTGGTGGATTAGGCCTGAGAAAGGGTTGATGTATTAATATTGTTTACAAGTACAATTCCCAAGAACTAATATATCATTTCAATATTTATATATTAAAATAATTTTTTTTAATATATTAATTTTTAAAATATTGGAGGATATTATCTTATATAATATCATACCAAATGTTGGATAATATTAAAATTTAATCAAGTCTTATACAATCAAGTCTTATACTATTAGATCTTATCTTATACTATGCATCAAACATGCCCTAAAGTTTAGCATGATATTTGACAATCCAAAAGTACACAGTGGTTAGGGGTTAAAGTTGTTACTAAGGGAAGGAATGCCTGGGAACACCAAGATCAGTAGTATATTATTATGGCACTAGTTCTTTTCCTATTTGTGTCATTATCATCGTTATATATTTATTTTTAATAAGTAAACAAGTTGACCTTCTTTTAAATAATGATCTGTGTAACTATCTAACTATCAGCTCACTGTTTTGGATATGTATAACAATTCAGCCGTTGCTCAATGGCACACGTTTTTTAATAATATAAACAAAACATTTATGAGCACAAAAGTCATAATTTGGGATTTATGATTCTTGATGAGTTTGGTTACTGGAATGGGTCTATTTTGAAACATTAAATCCACAAAGAATAGAAAGTCACGGGTTGATACCAATGGTTTGAAATATTTATGAGGCACGAAGGGGATATCTTTGCATTTTCCTTCCACACGAGAAAGGAAGAAGGTGGGAATCAATGTGTGCGCTTTCCACTATAACCGCATTGGCGGACCCGGGGAGTGGTGAATGTTCGGGGTGGTTCCTCCCTAAATTTTGATATTTATTATTATTATATATAAAATTATTTTTTAATAATAATAATCAATGTTAATAAAATTGGACCGGTCCGGCCAGGTCAACGCAGAAATCGATAAACCGATCATATAATCAGTTTGGGTGAAAGTAATAGACTAGTTATGCATCAGAATCAGTGCGACCCGATTGATTTTCATGAAAATTGGTGACCCGATCCGGTGCCAAAAACCAAAATCCAATAAAAAACCATAATGGAACATATTTAAGTATTTTTTACTTGTTAACTTACATAGGTTATATACCTACAACATTAATATTATCACAATTATGCACTAGGCAGGAAATTTTAATTTAATTTATAGTTAGAGATATCGTTTACTGAACTTAAAGTCTCGTATCACGATCATTATATTTTTGTTTGATCCTTTATTAGATAATAATATTTTATTTTTTATTTTTTATATTAAAATATTTAAAAAAATTACCATTTTTTTTATATATGTGAATATGTTTATAATTTTTTAATATAAATTATAAAATTGTATATAATCAGTGACTTACTGATTGAACTAATAACCTAGTACTTTAATCGGGTCAATAATAAAAAAACATTGATTCTAATAGTTAGTCCATCTCTTGAAGGTTCGCCATAACAACCCTTAACTGAAAGTCCGCCATAATACCACTTAATTGAAAGTCCGCCATAATACCACTTTGGAGTAATTAACACAGTATTTCTCGGTGGAATACACTATTGATGGCATAAATTCGAACCATTCAGACACCAGCAAATTTTTCTACAAACATATCGCGCAAATTAATCATCACGAGAAATTCTTTGCGGTGCTACGAGGAGAGTATTGGACTATAATGTGGCAGTGAAGCAATTTTCCCTCGTATAAATCAACCCAAACTCTTTCTCATGATTATATATCCCTTTTTTTGCGCTTTTCATCGAGGATTGTTCTTTTCTTTTTCCTTCATAAATTGAATATGATTGTTATTTAGATCATCGACTTTTATTACGAATTTAATTTATAGGAGGTTTTTTGTTTTTACTTTAGAGTTCAGGGTTACAGGAATCAACTAAATTATCTCATAGATTATGCTTTTCATAGGAAACTAAAACAATTCGAAAAACTTAATTTAAGAAGAATGTTAAATGAGATAAACGAGTTTTTGTAAAACGAATTACGAAAGAAGAAAAGTTAAAAAAAAAAAAATTTGTTAAGTTCCGTTAATATTACGAACAAAATAAATAAAAATAAAAATTTGATTTTAATGAAAAAATCTGACGTCAAATTATTTTATCGAAGAAGTCTTACTTGTTGCACATAGTACTTTCTATAAGTTCTACTACTAACAACTCCGCTACTAATTAAAAAATAAATTGATCTCCTCACCAAAAAAAATAAAAAAAATAAAAAATTGATCTTATCCACTGACAACGGGTC